GACTAGCTGCCTTCCCTTACACTGATAAATTAGGGACGGCCAGCGCAGATAGCCCTCGTGTAGCTTTGCGCGAAATTCAAAACAAACAGACTTGTTTAAAAGTAGGGTTTATAAATTTTACCATCAAAATTTAACGGGAAAAATTGGAAATCTACAAAGAAAATAAAAACTGATGAAAAACGTTAGCTCGATTTTATTTATTTGTTTCGTTCTTCCAAGCAGTACTGAAGATCCGTGAATTCGAAACTGGTCTGTTGCAGAGAGAATAACCAATGAAAGAATAAATTAGGGTTGTACACATCATCTTTTTTTTCACTAAAATTCACATTTTGGTGAAAAAAAAACAACAACAAATGAATGTTAACTCACTCAATCCCAAATTGAGTGATACTGCACTATGCTAAAGAAAGTGTCATTTTTTCAATCAAACCTTATTTTCCAAAATTATTAACACTAGTATTGTAACCATAATATGTATCACTCGAGTACAAATGGTATACTCATCTTGTCACTACCAGATAACGTCAGTAAGGGAGCAAACAACTTTTATTATTATTATTACAAAAAACGCATAATCTAGCCTTCTTACCATTGTGGTATTCTCATATGTATTGATTACCTCAGAGTTAAGAGTAGTATCTCAATAGCTTGAGAAATGCAAGGCATTGTATCACAGAGATGAATCTGAAATCGCACACTGACTGGTTTGAAGAAAGAGGCCAAATACAATGTAAAAGAAAAGATAGTCTTTATTAACAAAAACAATGAAAGGCAAATGAGTGCATTGGATTATAGACAGCAGTTCTATAGGATGTGGTCTTTATTTCTACACTGGTAACTTGTAAGTGAAGAACTTTACTTGTTTCAAACAAAGAGACCATAGCAATCTCTCTCAATGCGTTTGCATTACCGGCGTGACTAATGGTCATTCCAGTAGCCAAACAAGGGAGGATATATTCTCAAGATATCAATTCATGGGTCAGTGGAAAGGATCTTTGTCCTCTTTTACGTAATGTTTTCTACTATACAGCAATCATTCCCTAGTAAAAGCACAAGTGATACCATAGGGGAGTGACCCAGAACAGTAGGTAATAGAGCAAATGGGATTTAGCCACATTTCTTGACTAACTGTTCTATTGCCAAAAGTACACAAACAGCTAGAAACGTATATTTATAGAAGAGTTGGAAAATATTCGTCTCACTAAACTAAAAAAAAATACATGAAACACAAAATATGATTTAAACATCACACATTTTCTTCGTTTTCCACTTTTAGGGTTTCCTAGCCACCCCTAACTTTAAATTCTAGCATCTATTAAAATCCATGCATTGTTCATTGACACAAAATACAACACAATCCTGTAACAAAGATGAAATTCGATATTAAAATATAAGTCAAATATCCTTTAACAATGATCTCATTTGATAATATATATTAAAAGGCTCTTTACTACAAATGCTTAAATTTATGTCACAACCGAGACTGAAGTACATGATACCCATTAAGTTATGGTTTAGAAGGATAAAGTCACATGTGTTATGTGCACACACACACACAGAAAAAACTTGATGATAAGTTTGTTTTTGGAATTTCATTCAAAATTACTCAAGGGCTATCTTCACTCGTCATCCTCAATTTAGAAGTGATAGACAAGAGAGAAGGCAGATAGTCAACACCATCCATTGCCAACACTTGGACTACTCTTTTACTAATGAAAAGAGGGATTTATTGTCACATTATAATGTCCATACAGCTGAAGGAGCGAGTATGTTTAGTAAGGGATTCAAATTGCAACACACAGATTGTGAGTCAAGCACCCTAACCACCAGACTATGCTGGGGCTTTGATGATAAGGCTTGAGTTATTGATGAAGAAGGGGGAAGTAATGTATGATATTTCAATACAAAAACACTTTATGATAATGATTAAGTTACTGAAGAAGGGTGAAGTAATTTAAATACAAAACACTTGATGATAATGCATGAGTTATTGACAAAGAAGGATAATGATTTATTTTTTACATGAAACACCCATGCACAAAATCACAAGATGAAGAGGAAACGATGCTAACTTGTGATGTTCTTTTATGAAGAAAGGAAAAAATATTTGCAAGGTGAAGAAAAAGTGGCAATAATTTTCAACGTTATCTAATGAAAGTGTATTTTTTAATTTATTTATTTATTAATTTATTTATTAATTTATGCTGATTTAAAAAAGATAACTACAAAGTGCTCAATGAATAATAAAAGAAAATGGACAGAATACACACTCATCCTGCTCATAAAAGACCTGTTAGTGTACCTTCCAGGGTAGTGATGGTTTTCTAAATCATCTCATTTGCTTTAAATAGGACTTTCTAGGTGTAGACCTTGGCTATCTGAAGTTTATCTCTTTTACCTGAATGTTGATTCTCCTCATTTGGTTTGCAGTCATTGTGGCTGCATGAGGCCCAAGCCTCAGTCCAATTTGCTACTTGATCTTGGCAGTTGGACTTTAGAGCGATGACTTGTCAAAGAGTATAATAAGTAGAGATGCTCATAGGTGTAGTTGTCCAATGAAAAAACATTTGCTAACAATGCCAATGCTCTATTGTTTACAGTAACCATTTTCATCAGTGCTGGTTTTGTCAATACTGGTAGAAATGCTAGTACAGATTCTGGTCCATATACACCAAGAGCTTAGAATTTTTCTTATTGGATTTCAACTTTGGGAAGGTCCATCTTGGGTGCAGTATGTAATAGTTTCATCAGAGATGCACATGGTAGATGTTGCCTATACTTGGGTACTGTGTATCATCTAATGGTGCACTTGAAGAATCTCCTGTAACTGTGCTTTGATTCTTTCAGCTCAACCTTCACTGCTGGTGGCATCATCTATGAGGTTAGTGTAGGCCAGAACAGTTTCATGGCTGGAAGGCTGGACTCCAAAGGTGTGCTTGATTTTGAAGACTGTCTGGCTGCATATGACACTTCTT